AAGGGCTAATCCCAAGTCCATTGGTGGTTCAGTGGGTGGGTCCTGATTCTCAGCTGTCTTTAATTTCCCTTTTCCCGGGTCTTCTGTGTCCAGCTGAAGTCAGCATTCATCACAGCGCAACATCACTTCCAGTGTGACCTCTCTCATCTGTCAAAAATGACACTTGCGTTTCATTGCAGATCCAACATGACAGTCACGTTATGCATTACACTGTTTTGTCCTCCCATTTAGCCAGCCATTTCAGATTATTTCCTTCCACTGTATATAATCCATTTTCTTTTTGGGTTCACAATTTCATACAAAGTCGAATAAAAGATAATAATAATAATAGTACACAGTCTTTTTAGCTCTAAAGCCTTTGCCAGTTTATATAATACATTACATCACATATAAGAATACTTCTATAGAAATTAATTCTAAATAGTATTCTCATAACCCTTAAATCGAAAATAATCCTAACATTTACTTTAATCACATTCCTATAAAAAAATCCTCATTGTGAAATAAAGCGCATTATAATACAGTTGACTCATAACACAAATCTCATGTTGTTACATATGAGAGTCAAATATTTTTCAGCCCCTTAATGCCGTTACGGCGTTCTATGCTGTCGCGGCTTTAAAGGGCTTTAAAGCCGTTGCGGCGGCATAGAACGCAGCAATGGCTTAAGCCCCCCAGCTACTTACCTCCGCTGCGATCCTCTTCTGGAGGGCTGCCTGACCGCACAGGCAGCCTTCCTCCGGCAAGTGAGGCCCCCGGGGGCCATGTGATCGCTCTCAAAGAGCGATCACATAGCCCCCTATAGCTGGCTATGGATCTGCCAGCAGGGGGTCTGTCTGAAATATCAGACAGTCCCCCTGCTGGTGGGAAATAAAAAAATAAAAATAAACATGAGTAAAGATAAATTAAATATATTTATATATATATATATATATATATAATATATATATAATATATATATATATAATATATGTATATATATTATATATAATATATATACATATTTTATATATATATAACGTCATACGTATATATATATATATTAGTATTAAAATACACTTAGAATGACATTACATATATATATAATATGTATATATATTATATATATAATAGATATATACACATATATTATATATATATATATATATATATATATACGAATAATTACATTAATAAATAAATAAAATAAATAAATAAAATATTGAAACAAAATTTTATTAAAATGATATATTTATATGTAATTTCATTCTAACTGTATTTTGTTATTAATATATATATATATATATATATATAGGTAACAAAATACACTTAGAATGACATTCTATATATATATCTATCTATATATAAAATACAAATAACGCATATATATATATATATATAAATACATATAATTACATAAAAGATTACATTAGTATACACATAGAATTTAAATACCTATAAATACATATATATTAAAATTCTACGTGTATATTTAAGTAATCTTTTAACATAATTATGTGATTTGATTAATTAAAATTTGATTGACATGCCTGACAACACAGGGAGAAAGTGCAGAGAATTTAATTCGCAAGCACTATATTTGACCCTGTAACTCTCCAAAATACCATAAAACCTGTACATAGGGGGTACTCTTTTACTCAGGAGACTTCGCTGAACTCAAATATTGTTGTTTCAAACTGGTAAATTGTATTACAATGATGATATTTTAAGTAAAAGTGACGTTTTTGCATTTTTTACAAACAAACGTTACTTTTATGGATTATATTATTGTTGTAATATGTTTTACTGTTTTAAAACACTAATATTTGTGTTTAGTGAAGTCTCCTGAGAATAACAATACCCCCCATGTACAGGTTTTATTGTGTTTTGGAAAGTTAGAGAGTCACATATAAGGCTTGCATTTCATTTTTTTGACATTGAAATTTGCCAGATTGGTTATGTTGCCTTTGAGAGCGTATGGTAGCCCAGGAATAAGAATTACCCCCATGATGGCATACCATTTGCAAAAGTAGATACCCCATTTGCAATACCTTGGGTTATGTCCAGTCATTTTTAGTAGCCACTTAGTCACAAACACTGGCCAAATATTAGTTTCTTGCTTTTTTCACACAAAAACAAATATGAACGCTAACTTTGGCCAGTGTTTGTGACTAAGTGGCTACTAAAAAAGACTAAACAGACCCCACATTCAATACCTTGGGTTGTCTACTTTTTCAAATGGTATGCCATTATGGGGGTAATTCTCATTCCTGGGCTACCACACCGTCTCAAAGGTAACATTACTAATTTGGCAAATTTCAATTTGAAAATGGAACGTTCTATATTTGACCCTGTAACTTTCCGAAACACCATAAAACCTGTTAATGGGGGGTACTGTTGTACTTGTGAGACATCACTGATTACAAATATGTTCATTTTTCTGCAGTAATACCTAACAGTATTATGACATTAACAGCTAAAATGTCAGACGGAAAAACAAATTTAAAAAAAAATCTTATTTTCTAAGATTATTTAACATTTTATTCATAATAAATTATGTTCCATATATGAATAATTAATGATACATTAAAGCCCTGTTTCTCCTGAACAAAATGATATATAATAAGTGTGGGTGCACTTAATGTGACAGCGGTGAATTACGGGTGAACAGACATATAGCGCAAATTCCAGTTTTTGTTTACGTTTTGTTTTGATCAGAACGTGTACTATTGACTCCGTCCTGAAGGGGTTAAACTGTAATACAGATTATTATTATTATTATTATTATTATTATTATTATTGTTATCATTTATATAGCGCCAACAAATTTCGCTAGATGACCCCAATATATTTTAATTATCATCTACATCAGTGTTTTTTTCCAACCCAGTCCTCAAGGCACATCTACCAGTCCAGGATTTAGGGATTACAGGGTGTGTCTAAGGTGTTTTTACAAAGAAGAAAAAAAAACACCTTAGACACAACTGGGTAATCCCTAAATCCTGGACTGGTAGGTGTGCCTTGAGGACTGGGTTGGGAAACACTGATCTACATTATACCTACATTGGCTTCCTATAAAATATAGAGCTCAATTTAAAATTCTGGTTCTTGCTTTCAAATCTCTACATAATGCTGCTCCCACCTATATATCCTCCCTTATACACAAGTATGTCCCGTCTAGGCCCTTACGATCTGCTGAAGTCTTACGTCTATCTTCTGTCTGTACTCCCACCTCTGATGCTCACCTTCAAGATTTTTCGAGGGCTGCACCGTTCCTGTGGAACTCACTTCCCTCCTCTGTTAGATGCTCACCCAGTCTCCACTCCTTCAAAAAATTGTTAAAAACCCACTTCTTCATAAAAGCGTATCAATTAAACTGTTAATAGCTCCTGACGGATTCCTCTTCTGCAACTGTCACTAGTCTAATACTATCCTTACCTTTTTGTGTCATTTTACCCCACTCCCTCTAGCATGTAAGCTCATTGAGCAGGGCCCTCAACCCCTCTGTTCCTATGTGTCCAACTTGTCTGGTTTCAACTACATGTCTGTTCGTCCACCCATTGTAAAGCGCTGTGGAATTTGATGGCGCTATATAAATACAATAATAATAATAATAATAATAATGTTTCACTATACTAATATAAAAGTGCAAATTAAATAATATTTAGGAATGTATATTTTTTTTAATTAAAAATGATTTATAAAAAATTAAATTAGTAAATTGATTGTATCTATGGTTCCTTTTTCTTTATTTATATCCCTTTTACCCTTTCCTTGATATTTGATGTGATGTTTCAATTATATATTACAGGAAGCACACTATATCTTTATCTACATTAAGTCTCCTTGGTTCTAGGGTACCCAACCTTTGGATCCAGTATGTATTCTACTGAGACAGTTTTATTTTTTTTCTCCAATACATTTCAATATGATCTATTCCTATAAATGTAAAATCCTTAACATTACACCCTGTTCCAAATTATGCAAATGATATTTTTCTCATTTACCTAAATAACTGATGTAAATAACAGTCATCATAATTCTCATGTTATCAACTATTAAGAGTACAATTCAAATTTTATTGAACAAACCTCCTAATGATAAAAGTATTTTTTTTTTTAAACATAAAAAAACTTTCAATGCACTGTTCCAAATTTTTACGCACAGTAAGTTTCAAAAGACTTTATAGGTTGTAAAGAACTGCAAATTGTCATTTGTTGTGTTTACAGCATATTTACTGAAATCAAAAGCTGTTTCAATCAAACTTATAACAACATTTTAACTTTTTAAACATTTTAACAGGTCACGTTACATTTTGACATAGGACTCCTTATTTGACAGCAGCTTCACAAGTCTTGCATCCATTGAACTTGTGAGTTTTTGGACAGTTTCTGCTTGAATTTGTTTGCAAGATGTCAGAATAGCCCCCCAGAGTTGCTTTTTGGATGTAAACTGCCTCCCACCCTCATAGATCTTTTGCTTGAGGATGCTCCAAAGGTTATCAATAAGATTGAGGTCAAGGGAGGATGGAGGCTGTGGCAAACCTAGACACTTACAGAGTATTATGTATAAATATGCATGATGTTTGTTTCTATTGTGTTCCTATTTGTGAGTCGCTTAACCCCTGTTAAATTTATCCGTATGCAAAGATTTTCATCTAATGTTCATATGCATTTGTGTGTTACGGCACACGAATACCCCTAACACGCTTTTGCAAGTTTCACAAACAGTGGATTCCAACCCTGTTCATGAAACGAACCAAAAGACTGAATGGGAGGTCACCCCAGAAGGTCGTGTGCCGCTCATTAGTAAAACTGGAACACTGTATCCATCGGTTTATGAGCGTTCTGTGTGTGGTCACCGTTCGTGTACCTAACACATGGCGGCAGTCATCTTTGCTTTGCTAGAGTTCAGCAGTGTTTGGTCGTCGAGTGCCTGGAACCTGAAATCGGCTACTTGATTTCCAAACACCGCTGGACTCCCATAGCGGTCGGGAAACTCTCTCCTTCGGGAAAATAAAACCATTCGTGAGTTTTCTCTGCTAAAACCCCATTCGGATAAATGTTTATTGCGAGCAGCGTTCGACTGTTTCTGCAGGGATCAGAGCGGTACTTTGGTAGATTGTACCGATCGATCCCTGCAATCTAATGAGGGGTCATTCGGTAAAATATGTGGGGAATTGCCAAAGTTAGTGAATTTAATGTAAAATGTTACTTTTTCCTGTGCCTATCAATAACATAATTATTTCTCTGGTATAGCAGTGTATGCTGGGTAATCAGACTGTAAGCCCAGTCCCCCATGTAGTCCACTACAGGACAACCCCTGTAATGTGACTTGGGAAACCCCTTACACTTATAACCGCATAAATACTGTGACCTGTGATTAAAACCTCAGTTGACCTCCAAGCTATATGTCGTCTAGTTCTTGGGAGAAAGGTATTGTAACTATGCTACCTGAATTTTGTCTACTTTGTACCTGCTTTATTCTGTCTGCCAGCGGAATACCGTGGATAATACTACTACTCCGCTACAGAGGCCACACCATGACTTTCTCTCCTTTTATCCCCATAGCAGCCATTGATGCAGAGGTATTCTCATGCATGAAGATGATTTTATTATGGAAAGCATAGTTCTTCCTTTTGTACCAGGGAAGAAAGTGGCCAGTCAGAAACTCCACATACTTTGCAGAGGTCATCTTTACACCTTCGGGGACCCTAAAGGGGCCGACCAGCAACCTTCCCATGTTTACGGCCCAAAACATGACTCCACCACCGCCTTGCTGACGACGCAGCCTTGTTGGAACAGGATGGCCGTCCACCAACCATCCACTACTCCATCCATCTGGACCATCCAGGGTTGCACGGCACTCATCAGTGAACAGGACTGTTTGGAAATTAGTCTTCATGTATTTTTCTACCCAATGCAGCTGTTTCTGCATGTGAGCATTGGTTAGTGGTGGCTGAATACAAGGTTTATGCACAGTTGCAAGACTCTGGAGGACTCTATACCTTGATGTCTGTGGGACTCCAGAGGCACCAGCAGCTTCAAATATCTGTTTGCTGCTATGTAATGGTATTTTAGCAGCTGCTCTCTTGATCCTATGCATGGATCTGGCAGAAACCTTCTTCAATGTGACTATCTGCACGAACCCGTCTGTGCTCTAAATCAGCCACAAATCTCTTAATAGTGCGATGATCACGCTTAAGTTTTCGTGAAATATCTAATGTTTTCATACCTCGTCCAAGGCATTGAACTATTTCACTCTTTTCGGCAGCAGAGAGATCCTTTTTCTTCCCCATACTGCATGAAAATGGTGCTCTGCTTAATAATGTGGAACACCCTGATTTAGTAGTTTTTCCTTAAATTGGGCTCACCTGGCAATCTAATTATCACAGGTGTCCGAGATTGTTTTCAGTGATCAAAAGAGCCCTGAGACACAATGCCATCTATGAGTTAAACTGAAAAACTAAATATTTAATCTTTGTGACACTTAAATAGAATTTGCATAATAATTTGGAACAGGGTGCAAATGTGGGGCATGCATTACAATGAACTGCAATTGAGTGTGTAGTTAATTTTTTGGAATATTGTTTAAAATTGTGGGGCGGTTTCCCCAGCCAGTGGGTGGGCAATGCAGCTCTCCGTCCCCTGTGGCGGGAGTGGCAGCGAAAGCAGGGTCAACGATGAGTCTTCCAATTCATACCATTCAAAATTATATCAGTAACACTGCTCTGTTATGTTAATTTTTGAAGTTATTTGTTTTTCTTTACTGATTTTCTGTTTTTATGAAAATGTAAAAACCTTGACGGATTGCGACCAAGCCAATTACCATTGTATAACAAAATACGTGTCTTAACAAAATAACTTCCTTTCTGTATCACTGAGATAATGATGTATAAAACATGTTATGGCTTTTGCACAAGTCTCTACACTGCAGATATACCACAATTTCTGTCATAGCAAAAATAAAGAATAAAAAAAAAAAATAACTAAGGGCAAGCACATTCTTTAAATTTGCTTTCTCTTTGTATAGTATTGGTGGTTATTCTGGTATAAACTGACCCAGTACCGCATCCTGTCGCAAAATTGGCCAATGTTTCCTCAATATTTTAAAAATATTTTTATGGTTAACAGTATACTTGGTGATGGGGGCGGAGCCTAACATCCAGACCGAGCGGACGTGCCAGGTCCGAGCTCCGACACAAAACAAACGATTTTGGGGGTACATACCCCACTACCTGGCGCAAATCTGCTCGGGTGAGGCATAACCGTATGGGGGACGCCCGGGCACATCTTCCGACACCCAAATCACTAGCCTGACGACCCGGAGACCCACACTGCGGTTGCCGAGGCCTGCGAGACAGAAGGAGAGGGAGAGACGGCCGCTCTCCTCTCTGCCAGCCTGCTGCAGAAGCACCTCGACCCTCAAACCTCCTAACCCACCCCCCTGGACCGGAGGGGGATAACCCGGTCCTCGCCGTGAGCCCGGAGTGCCACACCTGCACAGACAGACGAGACACAGTAGAACTCCAGGGCCGGCGACACACGAGGCACGCACAAGATGGCGGCTGAGTACTCACCACGACAGCGGCTCCAGCCTGCAATCCCAAAGCAGCGTCCAGACAGCAGCACCGACCTCACAAGGCGCATTGATGAGCTGTTCGCCAAGTTCTGGGAGAAACTGCAGCTCCGAGCACAGAGCGCACAGACAAGTCGGAAAACCCCCAAGAGAGCAGGTGAGAGGGGCCACGTGCAGCCGACAGCGAGGGGGGCACCCTTGGGCACGGCACTGGATCACTCACCACCACGCACCCTCCACAGCCCAATACAGCCCTCCAAAGACTCAATTCAAACTAAAGGAAATCCTGGGATACAGCCTCACAGACAGCCCAACAGAAAGGCAGTGAACCAGCGCAGACTCGAGGGGGGCAAAACATATCAAGGCAGCCCACGCAGACGGCGGAGCGTAAAACCTAACCCGACCGCGACCACAACATCACTAACTCGAACCGGCAGCAGCCAGTGTCCACGCCGACCCACAAAAATCCCAACCGGGAACACACGCTACTCTCAGGGCGAACCGGAGCCCAGCACTGAGCAACTGACAGCGCGAGGGGAGCACAACCACCCCCAACGGGGCATCGGATGAACCACCTAGGACTGGGTCTCAATGACAGGCAAAGTGCCTAATATCCCTTACCTTCCCACAACCCAGATGAACTCTTATAAATGTATGCATGCACTTAAGCTTTAACATCCCTTCCCGTTGCTCCTGCCATGGACTGCAGGGGGGGGCTTCACTTGAGACCAAGCGACCACAAGATAAGCATACCTACCTATAGCCTCACCCATACTCACACAAGCTGCATTGGTAACTCAGCACACATAGCGCATACACCATAATCTCTACTGTCAAGCAGTTCATATAGCCTACCAAGCACAGTGGTAGTTATTTACACCCTTTTGCTTAGCAACTTGCAACAAACATATACAGTACGAATTAATAGCTGCATTTCAATAGGCTGTTCAAAATGTCTAGCTAGCATTGTATTGTGGTTGTCTCTCCTAACACACCATTAACAAACACAATGCCTACAACCTACATCACAACTGTCCAGCTAACTAGCACACCTAACCTGCTGAATATCAATTACCCAAATGCTATTCTAACAAGATAAATGTTCAGTCAAGCTTGTTATCTCTATATAAAAAAATGTGCAAACTTCTATGCCACAATTTAATTTCTGTAACTCCTGAAACACGCCGTTGTGGCGTCTGTTGATAACCTGTAATTATCTGCACAACCAAAATAAAGAATTTAAAAAAAAAAAACAGTATACTTGGTGATAAAAGCATAGAATTGTATTTTGACTTACTCCTTTAAAGGTCTTGTCTATCTTTCTTCAAAACCATCCTTATCTCCTTTTCCACATTATTTTTAATATATCCTTTTTTGATTAGTTTATCCCTAACAATATTTGCTTGTAATTTAAAGTCCTCTGTATTTGAGCAGTTTCTCTTCACCATGGTCATTTTGATCTTGGTAACAACTTTTATTAGCTCTCAGCAATCCCTCTGAGCCAGGGTGCGTAGTGACAACTTTTATAAGTTAAAACTCAGCTCTGGTGATTAGAATATCATCTCATATACATATGACATGAATCCTCAAGGCTTGCAGTGGAGAGAGTGAGTGACTTTTAATCCTATCTAGTAGAACAGTATTTGAAATATTGATCCCTGAATGTATATTAATATATGCATATTTAAAATTCTGGGAAGTGCCAGTTGCCCTTAAAGATCACCAATACACTTGCTAGCTCTTAAAAACAGTATTGGGAAAAACTAGTTAGATTTAATTGACCATGATAGCTTTCTTGATGATCACTATTCATTATATCAGCTCTGTCACCATGCATTCACAGAATTCACATGGCACCTCATCCACCAAGAGCCAATGTAAATGATTGTGCACCCAGGAGAGTATGTCTATGGAGGATCCCACAAGACCATGGAGACCTCTGTATATATTGTCTTGCAATAAGCAAGAACTGACAAAATTTGATAGCAGAAACTCTACCATATGTCAAGAAAGGATTATAACATGAGACAAAGTACTCCCTATTTTGTCTTATATCTTTTAACTGCACTGGAATTCCAAAAAAAATCCAACACAGTTAAGTTAAGCATTCCATAACGATTTTAACTTTATGAAATGCTGATAAATCTTTTTTTGGTGAAATAGTTACTTTAAGTATTGCAACTTTTTAGAGTTTTAGGGAGTTTTGCCTTTAAAAAAAGATGTCTTTAAAGAAGCATTCATTCAGCATCCAGATTGCCAACCAAAAAGATAAATTGTCCATTTGTTATCTGAGCTGCTGGAAGTAAATAAAAACCCCATGACTTCAAATAAACTGTGAGACATGCCTGGTTCCTCATCCCATGTACCATGCATGATGGTGGTGTGGGAAGGTGAAAAAGCCAAGCAAACTTGCCTTTCTCCCATGACTAATTAGTAGACTTGGAGATTCATATCTGGTTGAACTGCAATTCTTCTGAACTTGGGCCAATTGGGTGATCAGTTGAATGGCAGGGGGAGGCATAATAGGGATTAAATACAATCTTAAGACTGAAAGAGGAAAACAAAGTTTAGTGGCATACTACCAGTACTTAGGGTGGTCAGCTTTAACACTAAGAATGTGCACAGGTAAAAAAAAAAAATATGTATATATATATATATAT